GCCGCCGCGCAGGCGAGCCCTCAGCGCTCCCGCAGAGCTGAGCTGGGAAGCTGGAAGCTCCTCGTCCTCTGCAGCTCCCCAGTCGCGTAAACCAGCCGTAACGCCGAGACTTGGGCGGTTTTAGGGCTTTACCGGCAAAAGGGGAAATATTGTTTCGAGTTGCCTATCGTCCCGAGTCCCAATTTATGCTGTTTTTACACAAGCCCCTTGTTTTATATTCTTGTTTTCTCCAGTTTTCTTCTTACATGAGAGAGGTTTTGTTTGTCAGACAAATGTCAGTCATCCACCGGTCATCGGCCGGTTGCACTCTTTTGATGTAGATTTAAGAACTTTTTTTCATAAACTTTAACCGCTTTTGTTTTGCTCTGTATTTTCCTTGCAGCTGTAATTGCCGAGTGCCTGTTGTATACTTTATAGAGTTGAAATAAAAATAATTACTTTTGAATGGCGTGTCAGTGGCTCTCTTCCACAGCAGAAGCCAAGTTTAGGGGAGTTCTTCTGGTTAGTGATTAAATTGGGGTTTTTATTCTCATTTATGACAATATGTAGTAAGAGATAGCTGAACAAAATGTATGGTACTTACAGATTAGTCCGGCACCCAGATTTTCTGCAGGATGCAAAGGCAAATGGCCACAGTTACTATACTTCAGTGTTTATTTGAGCAGCAGCAGCATCCCGAGCAGCCCAGCCAAAGGGGTCCGAGGCCAATGGGGGTCCTGCTTTAAGCAGGGTTGGCACCGAGTGACCCCCACAGCTCGCTGCCAACCCAAATTATTCTGTGAATGTACTAAGCAATAAGCACATTTGCAGCACTTTTACCCTTCAGGGATCAAGAATTCGCTTTATATTTTGTTTGCTGCCAATATAAGCGAGTCCCGGGCACGCAGCTGGGAAGGGACCGTATTTCCAACACGAGCTGTGTCATCCCTAGATGGGATTTGACTGCAAACACCCCCCATGTCAAAAAAATGGTGTCCCTGTTGTCACTGTCCCTTATGAGAAATGCTAAGAGGGGTGGTGATGGAGGCGCAGCCATTAACGGCAGCACATGGGATGTCATGAAGACGTCACCCTGTGTTCAGGATGCTGAGACTCTGCCCATCCCGATGGATTTAAATACATCCTTGGGAAACTGCTCAGCCCCCGTGTGACAGAACTGTCATCTTTAAATCTCAGGAAAGTCATGGTTAAGGGTGTACTTCCATGCAATGCAGGCACAGAGACAGGTAAAAACTGGGGAAAAGAGCACGAAAACATCCTCCTAGGAGGGAAATAAATTTGATGATAGCTGCCTAAGCAGGAGCTGGGAAACATCCCGAAATGATTTTGCAGGAGGCAGCAATCACAGATACGAGTTACTAATACAATAAAAAGCCCAGGGTGACGTGGCCCTCACCTGAAACTCCGAGGGGAATACAGGGATTTCGGGGCAAGGTGTGGCCCTCATTCTTGCAGGCTAAAAATAGCAAGGCCCAGGTTCGCCTGACTGCGGCGGGGATGTCCGCTGAGTCAGCAGCACCGCTTCCGCCAGCACCTGCCTTAGGTGCTCGCCGAAACTTTCCCAGCCAATTATTAGCCCGGCTTGAGCCTCTTGGGCCTGAATAGGTGATAGCAGGTCCCCGCAGAGCGACAGCCGTACCCTGCGCGCTGCCGGGGTTTGACTTGCGGGAGGGCGACGGCTGAAATCACCCACCCTGACGGGAATAAATCTTTGGGGTGGGCTGAGGCAGCCCTGCCGGGGCCAGGCTTGTTGCCCGTATGTTTTCTTTCCAACCCCGCTTTAAAAGTAAAAGTTAAATCCGGGCATTAGGCCGTTATGGTGAAACCCCAATTTAATGAATTGGGGGTTGCTACTGCACTTGCACGACCTCCGGGGGCGGGTGGGGGCGGTG